GCAGATAGGAATACAAGGAAGCAACCTAGTCCCCTTTTATAGCAGCTAAGAGCCCACACATTGTCTGGCTGATGTGCTCATGGAATCACAACCTGAGCTGTGTGCTTCCTTTTCTCTTTCTCATATGCCTTATCCTCATTTGTCTGGTCCCCCACATCCTGGTTCTGGCTGTGCTGATCTCACTCACACTTCCATTTTATCCCACCTAGCTCAGCCAACAGATCCCAGATTTTTTTCTTGTCCATCCCTACTATGAACACTGAATTACATATCTGCAGGTAGATTTCATACTTTCCCCAAAGGAATTCCTAGTTTCCTTGGCTATCAAGGGGACTGTGAAAAATAAATACATCCTTAGATAGCAAACATGTTTTGTTTATACTTGGGATGGGATCCAACTCACTTAACATTATGCATATCTCACAAAGTTAGTTGCTTAGTCCAATCAAATCATCTAAGGTCCCTCCATGGTCAATTAAAAAAGGTAGGTTACCCTCTAGAGAAAGTCCTCTCTTAGACATTGATGCAGTATGTGATCACCTGCCCCCACTAGAGAAATCCCTCTGTTCTCTCACAGCATGAAATCCTCAATCATATTGTTTAGTTTCACTTGCAGTGTTATTATATCAAGACATTAATCCTTTTATTTATTTAATCCTCCTCCTCATTGTACAACTTCTTTTGGATTATAAAATCACCGACTGGCATATACAATCTCTGTGCATTGCAATGAACACCAAGCACAAGAAAGAGAGATACTATTACATGCCTTTAAAACACCAGAGTGACTCTATGGCACAGTAACTTAGTAAATATGGCTATGACTTTTACCTATCAATGTAAGAAAGATTAATATTCAAAGGAGAAGGAAGCAACTACCAAGCTGTTAGTACCATGGTAATGAAAGTGTCTCGTAAAAGCACTTTCTTAGAATGACAAGGTTTTGGAGCAGGAAGGAAGAGAATACCAATTCAGAATTAAAATATTGGGAATCTATTTAGTAGAAAACATTTTAAATATTTTTCAGAACATTCTCATAAACCAAAAGATAGGGCTTGAAAAGTGGTTGCATGCAGCCAGGAACATATTCAATCTCAAGCACTTTGCTATCACTCAAAGTACACTTGAAATTTGGACTAAAATGGATTTGCTCAAAGCCTTTTAATCATGTTTTCAGTCTCCTTAACTAACAATAATTTGTACTCTGAGTATAGGATACGCAGTGCACATCCACAAGAAAAGAGCAATCAATGTATGCTTGCCTTCACCTGAGTAATGAATGAGGATGCTAGTGCCTCTGCTTTCAGGGAGCTTTGGTGTACAGTAACAGGTAATAAAAAGCAGTTTTTTAAAAAAGTTTGTCCTCTTAGCACTCCACTGACATCAAATAATTACCCCCCCCCAAATGATGTTTAGTTATGTTTCATATGAAGTGATTTGAAAACGAATGTGGCAGTTTACTTAAGCAAAGTGGACCAAACTTTCCTCTAAGCTATTTCTGTGCAGCCCCATCAATCCCACTGAAGATTTTTGGTGTGGATAAGAAAGCAGCTTTGGTCTAAATCATGTGTTTAGAAGCTGGGTTCATCTGTAAAGGCAAATTCAGGTGTGAAAAAAGTCCAGGGCGTGCTTGCAGCGCCTTTGGGTCAGAAGCCCTGAGGGGTGCCTCCGCCTGCAGTGGGGTGACAAGCCCTACGGCCACACTGGGAACAAAGTGAGAGGTGCCAGAGCACCTTCTAGGAGCTGCTGCCATTTGCACAAAGGTCATGCTCTGAAGTGGATGGGCATGAAAACTCACTGCCTCCAGAGCCAGCTTAGGGAGGTTTTACCAAAGATCAAATAGTTATCTGAACTCAGGGCCTTGCAGTTGGTCTCAGAGACACAACCACTACCAGTCAGATGAATCAGGCAGCTGAATTTCTGCCTGGCAATACAGAGCTTGTGCCAGATTTCTGATTTTTGGCAGCTTTGGAAGGACATGCACTGCAGCCAGTTTAAAATTATGGTGACTTCTTCTTATTAGCCTGCACTGACTGAACCACCAAAAGGTGCCACCAAAGTGGTGCCATCCATGGCCACATGCTTCTGCCTCTTCTCTTGCACTGATTGTAGACTCCATGGTGGTGTATGGGTACATGAGTTGGATCATTACCCTGAGCAAACCGAAAACCAGCTCTACAGAGAAGTGCTTAGTTTTCAGTTGGACCAGCAGTCTGACCTGACCTATGCCCTCATTGCTGGGGCCAGCACAAGGAGGGAAGTGAAAACAGGATTGCTTTTTTAGCTGCAATCACAGGTTACTTGGGCTTCAGTTTATGTCAAGACCAGAAAATGAGGGAGTCTGAGTGCTGCTGACAAGACAATGCCTTACCTGGCATAAAGCCTGACAGTGCGAAGCTAACCTCTTGGCATTTTTAAACACGTTCAAACCTGCAGACTGTATTGATCTCAGCTCAGGGCACTTTGTGCTGTGACCATGATATTTTTATCTGGTGCTAAGAGCCAGTTCTAATATATTGTCAAGTCACAGCCTCAGTAAGCTGAACATGGCAGCAGTACAAGCTAGTGGTATTAGATAGAAGGAAAATGCACATCAAGCTGCCAGTACACATAAATTCAGCTAATAGTTTGCACACTACATACATATATGTCTTTGAGGCATATAGGACCCAGTCACTTGAAGAGTAACAGCCTTTTTTTCATTGGTGTAAAGTATTAGTTGTGTGACTCTAAAATATCCCCTTCCTGACAGTAAGATCAATTTATTTCTAGTTCAATCCAGGAATCAGACTGACAGCTGCACCATTGTAAGTGATTCTCTGAGCAATTGTTCTTTAAAGACATACTCAGAAGAAATGTAAATTGCCAATGATCAGTAGGTATGATAACAGAGTCCCCCACTGAGCTTCTGGTAGCAAAGTACTTTGATGCCTGTGTAGACTATTACCTGAGCTGATGCAACACATCTGTTAGTTGGGCCCAGTCCCATTCTTAATCCAAGCTCCACAAATGGTTACTTTCTTCCTTTAAATGTGAATTATTTTCCGTGATGAATGATAATTCTCAGTTGAATGGATTTGCTCAGTTTGGAGGCGCAGGCTGGAGCTGAGCTGGAGGGAGGCCACAGCAAGTGAGGAGTCCTGAGTCTTCCTCAGCCAGAGCAGGTCAGCACTGGGTCACCTCACTCCCTGCAGCCATGTTCACAGGACTGGTCCTTCTAGAAGTGATTCAGAGATAAGGAAAAATCATCCTTTCAGCTACCTGAGACATTCACATTTGCATTTTGCTCTATTACGATGATTGTGCACAGCAAACAAGAAAAGCAGTCTAGAAGTCATAAGAAAATGTATCAGTCAAGTGACAAAAGAGGAGATAATATTTCTCAGTCTTATTTTTTACTTCTACTGAACACACCTGTAGGGAAAACAAAAGTGAGGGTGAAGGGAGGAGGATTATAAGATAAAATTGTAGCCTTTGAATATGTACATTTAAAGATAGATAGATAAATAAAGATATATCCATTTGTAGAGTAACTTTGCTCTTCATTCCATTCTTTTTCATAATATCTATAACAAAAACAACAAACTGGGTTATATGTGTATGTGTCTTTCTAGATAGCTAGAAGAAAATACATCCCTTAGGCAATGAGATTGCAGGCTTTCTATATAATGAGCTATCTGATCAGAAGACGAGAATTATATACTCTCTTATAACTTCAAACTAAAAAACACACCTAAAACTAGCATGTATAAATGAGTGATTTTAGTGGACTTATATGTCTGTCCCCCTGGAATCAATTGAAACTCTCATCGATCTTCATCTATCCTTTCTGCAAAGAATGAAATTCAAACCCATACAGCCACAATGTATCCTGTGGTTACAGGAGTTGCTGTTTCACTGAAGTATAACTTCAGGTACCCAGAAAGAAGGAATAAAGCAAAGGTAAAAAGAAGTTCTTTAAACTAACCTGTCAATAGGCAACAACAGTTTTATGTCAAGAAGAAAGGCAAATAGTAAAAAAACCCCACAATCAAAAGAAGCAGTTGTAGCTCACCAAAATCAGTGCCAATGCTTTCCAGTTCATGCACACCCAGTTAACCAAGTCATCTCCTGACGTACGTGAGGCCGTGCCACCATACTATCCCACTGTCACATCTCACTGTACTTGCTACCTTGTTTATCAACATCTTTCAAACTTCTTTTAATGTAGAGACTAGGGCATACTATATATACTAGAATTAAATTATTTACAAGACAAAGACTCCTTTTACAGTGGGTTTTTTTCCTAATTTTTTAATTATTTTTTGTTCATTTCATGTCAGCTATTCTGAGTATCCCCAAAGGTTGTTTTTTTTCTTTACTCGAAACAAATTTACACAATAGATGAAAGTTCTTATAATAATGAAGTTTTATTGATAATCCTTTTTTTCCCGGCTCTGTAAACTTTAATTGGCATTTCAGAGTAAACTTCAAATAATGAAGATCTAATTAAATATTGAGGATTTGAGGAATAGGAATAAATCTCTTTTTTTTTTTTTTTTTTTTGCATTACTTTTGGCTTTTGGAAATTCTTTTAGGGTGCCTATTGAAGCAGATAATCTAAATAGGCTTCACGTTCAATTACTCTACAGACTATACTAGTCTAAAGGAGTAGATCTAATGTGGTTGGAAAAAATGGCTTTAGACCCCTTCTTTTCCATTTGAATCAACACCTCCTTCCAGCTTGAGAAGCTGCAAATTCTCAGGTCTGTAACAATTAGCTTACTGGGATGTCACCTAGAAAGAGTCATTTAACAAAAACTAGGAGGAATCTGGAGCCAGGTTTTTTTGTTCTTCTTACTGTAGAAAACATTTCTGAATCAAATATTGATCAGAAATTCCCAGCTGAAGAATCTGTCCGTAGTTTTGCTTTGGCCCTAGAGACGTAGGAATGCACATGTTCCTTCCAAGATGAGTCCTAACCTTCTACCCCTCTTCTGTCTACCTCTGTGTTCCCCCAGGTTACCAAGATGTTGGCCGTGGTGGTAGTCCTATTTGCATTTCTATGGATGCCCTACCGCACGCTGGTGGTGGTCAATTCCTTTCTCTCCAGTCCCTTCCAAGAAAACTGGTTCCTGCTATTTTGCAGAATCTGTATTTATTTAAATAGTGCCATCAATCCTGTAATTTACAATCTCATGTCCCAGAAATTCAGAGCAGCCTTCAGGAAACTCTGCAACTGCCAGCAGAAACAGGACAAGAAACCGGCCAACTACAGCATGGCCCTAAATTATAACGTCATCAAAGAGTCGGATCACTTCAGCACTGAACTAGAAGATACTACCGTCACCAATAGCTATCTGTCCTCTGTAAAATTGTCCCTTGGTGATCCATGTTTGTCATCTGAGGTAACAGTTAATACATTTTAATGTTTGGTGTATAGTCCTCATGAAGCAGAGCATGTTCACGTGCACGGGGCTGTGATGGGATAGTTTTCGTCTGGGGTGGTGCAGCAAAGGACCAGGGAAGGCTGGTGGTGACAGATGATGCATCACCAAAAAGGGCAAGTTCACTGCATGGCGGGGAGGGAGAACTGCCCAGCTCTGCAAAGTGATGCTCTCAGAGTGCCTTGTGCCCAGCATGACGTGACCGGGAGGATCCGCAGTATGGTAGAATGATGCTGAGAAACATGTAGGTTAAGCCTTACTCCCTGAGGAGTAGAGGGCAATGGTGGAGCATCAGAGAGTGGTGCTCGGGCACGGTGCCTCACATAAGCGTCTGGCAGGAGGGTGGGCACTGGTGTCTGAGCTCAGTGATTCCTCCTGGACTATGCTCTGGCTGCCTGTGAGAGGGCAATGGGGCATTTTCTTGTACCTCACCCCCGGTTCCAACTTGGGGTTAGCTAGGCCAGTGCCACCACACAGCTGGACCGAAAAGACACAGAACTCCCACACACCAGCACTCTGGTACTGAGAGTGCTGAAAGCCACATCCATTTCCATGCTACCTGCATCATCCCCGTATGTAGCACAACTTTCTAACCCAGCTGTCTTCTACATGATGATGCATATTACTGTTTTCACAATGCTTTTTTACATAATACTACCTAAATGCTGTTCATAATCCTGTATACCTTAGCTCTTACAATATAGATGATCCACAGAGAGACTTAGTTTTTCATTTCCTTTTGCAGATGATATGAAAATGAAAAATATTTCTTTCTCAGTTTGCTTCTTCTCTCCTAACTTTCAGGCCTGAAGCCCATGTTCTGAGTATGTAGTCATATAAAACATTTGGATGCTCTGTTCCCACCAACCTGTATGAAATGTAAAGGCATTTCTGCTCACAGAATTGCAGGAGTTACCATATATCTCTACACACCTGTCTGCATCCTACAAGAAAAAGCAGCCTCTTGGGAGTGAAAAGAATATACTACTGAGTCTAACTGAACAAAGCACTTAACACAACATAACTTTAAACAGGTGAGTTGGCTTCAGTGGAATACCTAAATCCTTCATCTCATGTATTGGCCAAAGAGTGGTCTGTGCTCTCTGAAAGAGCAAGGCTGCCCAGGACATCTCCACGGACACAGAGCGGGGCAGCGGATGATGCTCCCAGTGCAGGTGAGAGGTGAGGAGAGGAGCTGCCCTCCTGCATGGCTGCTGCGTGTCCCAGGAGTGCTCACACTGCACTGGGCAGTACCAGCAGGGCCCGTCCAACAGCAGCCAGAACCGCTGCCAATTACAGTAATTATCCACCACTGACTCCCTCATTCCACAGCAGTGCAAATCTAATTGCAGGCATCATAACACGCTTTAACAAACAGATATCTGATGGCAAAGAGCATGAAATCTTTTTTTTTTTCTTTTTTTTTTTTTTTACCTGGAACAACATGAAATAGGAAGACCATTCAATGAATTCACAGCAGCGAATAAACAAATTAAAAAGTCAGTAGGAAGCTTTAAAAAAAATCTTATTTTTTTCAGCAAGCTAGTTTATAGATGTACCACTTTAAAGGTAAGTCTCAGCTAATACTGAATCCTGTCTGCACTTGACAGGTATTGAAGAGTACTGGACAGGCTTTTACTGGTTAATTTTGCCTTGGTTTAACAGTAATTGTGTCTCAGACCGCTACAGGGGTTTATAGCTTCAATATAGATAATGTCTAGGGAAAAGAGGAAAATTTAGTGAAAAATGCCACTTTTTTTCATTTTTTGTCTCAAAGGTTATCCATTAGAATACTTCAGGACATCATAAAAAACTGTTTTGAAAGATTGATTGGCTGTATATTTGGCTGGAAAGAGAAAATACTGTGAAAGCATTGCTACATTTTCTTAATTTTTCTAGTTCATTGTAATGTTCCCCTTACATGATGACCTTTAGCATTCATTTTGATAATCTGAAGCCAAACACAGAAATTTATGTTACAAAAGATCAGTTTCTAGGCTGCACTCACCCTGCCCGCTCTGGCTGCAGCTGAGATTACCGATCTCCAAGGCTCATCCCTGTTCCCTGCGAGAAGTCACCATGGCTTCCCATTTGCCAGCATAGTTGCTTGCATGCTCTTCCTGCACAGCCGGTGACAAGCAGCCTGGGGCCACAATCTCCCCGATCCCCAGCTGCAGTCTGAACTCAGTGTATCACTTTGGCTTTGCTGTAGACCAACTCATGTTCTTGCTAGAATTATATTTTCCCATTCCTGCGCAGCAGTAACAGAAACTCGGGAAGGTGCCTGCATGTTCTTGTTTGTTATGAAAGTTTTGCACAGCTTTTGTACATGACATTTAAAAAGCTGTGAAAAAACTAATTGTTCTAGTAAAAATCCTATCCAGTGTGGGATAAAAGAGGTATCCTCACTAACACTGTAAGGCTTTCCTATCCAGTTTTTCTTTGTACATACAGCCACTTCCCCAATTCAAACCACTTCACTTACATTCAGCCATATCTGCAAACTTAAAGAGAACTGAAAAGACCCCGATAGCTCTTAGATTTCAATTTCAATACAAACTCATGTCTGCTGCATCCAAAAGGCTCCATTTGATGTTCTCTGAATAGCAAGGAGGAAGGGAACACCTCTATCCTGCTCAGTCTGCATCCTTGCTTTAACGTCTGTTTTAACCTTGCAGAGCTCCACAGGTACTTTCTAGCTCGGCAGAGTGATGGCAGGGCATGGAAGGGACCAGCAGCAGGAGGTTTTTAACCAGCAGTACAGACATGACAAACTTACTCCAGAAAGTCCTTTCTATCTTTTATTTCCATCAGCCCTTGCCTTTTCATTTTGGCAAGCAGAGGGAGCGAGACCATGGGGGTATCCTGCTTCTTGAGACTCTTACCTCACATTATGGGGAGTCAGTTTTAAAACCAGGCAGAACACCATACCAGACGCAGGCTGTATGCTGGAGCCTCTCCTCCGCAGGCGCTGGCAGAGCCTTGGCTGGAGCAGAGCCGGCAGCTGAACCCGTGCGGGCTGTCTTGCAATGTTTTCTAAATCCTCTGCGCTGGGGCCCACACAACTGGAAGGGGGATGTTTGTTGCTTTTAAAATAATAAGGAAAAAAATAAAATGACAAAGTCGCATGGCAGCCAAGCGGGCAAAGCTGACCAAGGTTCAAGAGTCAAAAGAGAATACTACTAATGTTACTCTGGAGGGAGTACCTAGCAATTGTATCTCATAAATACAATACTATAGCAGTCACATACACTTTGAACAAACCTTTTCTTTGTAGGGCTTGATGTCAAATTACAGTTCTATGGCATTTTACTGCTCACACTTGCTTAAAGCTACAGCTTGCCACCATAAGGAGAAGTCAAGGAGAGGTACCACAACCTCTATAACATTTCCTCCAAAGCAACTGTCACAGTAAAATGAAATTATCTGGGAAATCTTACACAGGCATTTATATGTACTTAGCCAAGAGACACATTCAGAATAAAAGCAAGTTCCTGTATCTGACTGAGCAAAGCCTTCATGTGCAGTCAGCCAGCACCACTCGCAGCTGATCAAAGCGGATCCCCGGGTTGATACCGGAGGGAGAGGGTGTGGAGGCGGCTGCCGGTGGGGCCGGCACATGGAAATCCTTTCACTCTACAAATACTGTTATCAGTTAGGCATCTATCGAGTGCTTGCAGACCAGCCCGTACCTCCCAGACTTTCTAAAGAGGTGCCAGAACTAAGTCTTTTTCTTACATAAAAAGCGAGCAGACCTCCAGGACAAGCGGGAGGCAATGAGAATGCATGCCACAGAAACCTGGTTATACTGTTGTGAGCACAACTGGCTGAGCTAAGAACTGAGCTAAGTATTCATGTAATAACAGTAACACAAACTTACACTTTTATCTTGACCCTTTTCAGAGTACAGACTGAACTACAACTCTTATAGATTGACAATATCAGAAGTAAATTCTCTCCTTTATTTGCCTTTTTGCTCAAAAAGTAACTTTCTGCTTTTTCAGCCTGTCTCCATAGTTCTTTTTTTTCAGATGCTCGGGTGAGGTATTTAAGCCCATATTTAGTGAGGTTTCATCAAGGGCTAAAATCTATGTAGGTGATTTTGTATGCACCATCATTTGGAATAACAAATGAAAAGGAATGATTTCATGCTGATATTTATTTGCGCAAATGGAAATGATTATGCATGCAAAATTGTGTGCACAAATGCAATATATAAAAATGCAGATTTAAGTTAAGGTGTGATTTTAACTCATAATTTGCTGTGACTATGTCTTTATAGATGTTATTCATTAAATCCATTCTAATTTTATACTGATTCCTACAGCTAACACTATGAAACTTTGCTAGATAACATACTAATGTGATTTTAGATCTATTTCTGTGTTTGCCCTTCTGTTTGTAACAGCAATCAACATTTTTTCTTGTATATAGATATTGTATATTAGATATGCGGGCATGTCTTTATTTAAAAATTTACGTGATTTTAAGTTTATTAATAATATAGCAAACTTTTTTGCTAGAAGTGGAAGTGACTGGATGTCAGCTACTGACTGCAGTAATATAACTATTTATCTTTATATACTTATTTTGTGGATAACAAATTCCTCTGCAACATTTAGTTTGAAAGAATTGTCTGAATGGTAGCAATACTGAAATCCATGTCTGTATCCTCATTTAATGGCTTTGATGTAAGAGATTGTATTCTTATTACATTTTTATTTGGAACTTTACCCAGCATGTAACAGAAGAGATGCTGCTGTAGTATCTGGCTTTTGGAGCTACACTGCTTCCAGTGTGAAATAGTGAGATGTTGGAAGCTTCAACATTGGTAAATTGTGCAGTTGAGAAAAGCTAGGTGTATTTAAAACACATTTTAAAACACACACAAAGTTCAACTTCGAGGTCAGACTTAAGATATCAAAGAGGCTCCAATGTATTGTGAAGGGGTTTATGATGCTCCTGTGGAAATGAATGGCACA